TCTTTTCTCAACTGTTCTAATGTTTTTTCTTTTTTTTGCATTTTTTGTCTATACATCTTTTCCTCCTCAAGTTTTTATTTATATCCTTTTTATTTTTTATATTTGAATTTTATTTTAATTATCATGTCCCAGCTATTTTTCATTTTTTTTCATATATTATTTTCCGTTTTTTTGTCTTTTGTTTGTTTCCTCTGCCAAATGTTGTTGTTTTCTGTGTTTATTATTTTTATCTTTTCAGTAGTTTTATTTTATTACATTAATATTAACTTTTTTCACGAGTTTTTTTTATTAGACATACTTTTTATTTTCATTTTTGGGTCCAGGGTCATTCATTTCTTTTAAAAAAAAAATGTACATGGTCATTTTCATTTTTATTTTTACTACATTTTTTTTAATTTTGATGTTTTCTTGTTTTTATTTTTTTATATATTCATTTTATATATTTTCTTCATAACATCGTTTTTATTTATGTATCATTTTTTTTATTTTTTTTTTTATTTTTAATTCTCATTTATATCATTTTTTTCATTGGGTATGATACTTTTTTTTTTCTACCAATTTTATTTCACCCCCATTTTTTAATTCATTAATATTTTTAATTTTTTTTATACAAATTTCTTTTTGTGTTATATTCTTTTGCATTTTTTTTTCACCATGGTGTTTTTTTGTATTTTAATTTTTAATGATTTTTTTTTATATTTACTAATTTATAAATGGTGTTTTTTCAGTTATGTGTTAATTACAAATTTGGTTTATATTCATTTTCTCTATTTTCTATTTTATGGTTTATAATCATTATTCACATCCCCTCATTATAAATAATTTAATATATTTCATTTTTTTATATACAATTCCCCACATTTAAATTTTTATTATTTTCATTTTTATTTTAATTTTTATTTTTTATTTTCTGGTAAATATAGCTTATTTAATGCTTATAGTTTTTTTTGCCTATTATATTTTATTTTTTTCTTTACTTAATATTTTTTTCGTTCCATCTTTTCAAATTATCGCATCATTAGACAGTATTCCCCAGTATTTTTAATATTAGTTCTACCTTTATATCTATTTTCTTATGTTGGAAATTATTTTGTTCTTTATTTATCAGGGTATATTTTATAACTTGTAGCCTACATACTCATCTATACATGTTTATCTTTTTGTATTAACTAATCTTTTTTATTTTATCAAATCTTTTCCGACCGAACGACTTGTCGGTGTATAATACTGATAGCCATCTGCAGATACTAGCTGCATTTTTTAATTAACAAATTATTTTTTATTTCCAACATTTACTGTTTTATCCCCGTGGTCATGAATCTCTAGCTCCTATTGGTCATTTGTCATCCATATATATATTGTGTCCACCACTGACTTCTTCGTTACTATTACTTTTTATATACTATATTATAAAAATACATTATTTACAATTTTTTCTTTTTCTATTTTTTTTTTTATTTTTTTTGTGGTTCTTTAATTTGTCATATATTTTTTTTGGATATTTTTTTTTAACTTTATAATTTTTTCGTTTTTTCGAATCTGGCTGTTTCTTTTCTATATTTTTTTAATCTGTATGACTGTGATATCCATTTGTTAGTATCTTAATTTTTCTATTTATTTATTTTTTTTTTATCTTTTTTGGGTAAATTTTGGTCGCATATTTCAAAAATAGTCGTTTTTTTGTTCTTTTTTTTATTTTCTTTTTCTTTATTTTTGGTAATAAATTCCATTATTTTATTTATTTTTTTTTTAGGGATTTTTTTTTTATTTATTTATTTTTTTTATCATTTTTTATTTTTATATGTGTTTTTGTTTTTTTTATCAATGTGTGTTCATTTTTTGGGCTATATGTTTGTGGTATTATTCTTTCTTTTTATACCTTTCATATGTATTTATTATTTTATTGTTTATTTATTTTTTTAGTTATTCTTTTTCCTTTTTTTTTTTCATTCTGTTTTTTTAATTTTTGTTTATTATCTGAATTTAATTTTTTTGTTGATCTTTATTTTCTTAATAATTGTTTTTATTTTTCTTCATGATTATAATTTTTTAGTTTTTTTCTAAATTTTTTTTTATTATACTTTTATTTTCTTTTTCATTTTCATCTATATTTTCTTTTATTCTTTTTCTCTTACTTCCGTCCGATTCCTCTCTTCCGGCGATTGAGATAACATCTATTTTTTCTTTTTGTTCTGTCTTCACTTTACACGTTGTTCTTTTTATCTATCTCACAGGTGGAATATGTGGGGAGTTAAGAAAACTTTCAACAGACTCCATACCAAGTGAAGAAATGTTAATTGACCCTTACCATTCGTTCTCTAGGATGCTAGTTGGACACTGAGATATTGTTAGTTCGGTTTAGCTAATTCTTTTGCCGCTCCCTAAAATGGTCCTTGATAAAGACGCTTCCGCTCCGTTATCTAGTCTATTTATACCCCGTCAATATTTAATATTGGTTATCGTGCTATCTAAATTAATGGGTTCCAATCCTTCTGTTATTCTTCGCCCGATTAATTTTGCATATGCCCTGAACGGGCCAGAGTGTTATGGGAGGTAAAGGAGGAATTTGAGAGGGTTGTTTTTGTGATGGATGTGGTTAATAGGCTATTATCTCCACACGCAGCGGGTCTTCTGAACCCCGCTGATGGTCTTAGAAGATTATTTCCGTTCTGCTCCCACCCGTTCAAAAAAATAAAAAATACAAAAGAAACACACATTCCACACACACACACACACACGAACCACCACACTCACGGACACACACAGCGACACACCACCACACCTCACACACATCACATCTCCACACACACACACACACACAAACATTCATATTCACACACACACAGCCACACACACACACACACACACACACACACACACACACACACACACACACGACACACACACACACACATCCACACACCACACACACAACCACTCACACACACACACACACACCACACACACACTACACACACACAAGCACACACAGCCACCACACACACACACACACCCACACACACACACACAACACACCATTAAGATTAGAAAGTGTCCGTTGCCTGAGAGAAGCTGGGGGTGAGGTGGAATGCTGACCCTATATTCTGTGTATCGGCCAGGACTCAGGCGGTATGTTCCAGCGACACCCACTTTTGCCCGCGTTCTTGGGAAAAGTTGGGCTAGTAGCTACCTGTTCCCGGACCAGTGTAGATAAGTTACAACCGAAGGATTGTTCTATCTCAAGCTAGTTCCGAGCAGTCACGTTGTATGACTTTCCAGAGCTGCTCTATCTCTATATTCAAAGCCCCGGATTAGATGGTCCCAAAATGTAGCAATTAAGAACGCCTACATTAAATATCTCTCTCTCTTATTAATTGCATGCATACGAGAGTGAATTTCCCCCTGTCGATATGAAGCAGCAACAGCTAGTCTCCGAAGGGACGATAAATCACTCTTGCCTATCGGTTCCCAATATGTTCTTTTACTGGACACAAGCAGGCAAAGTGTTGGCAGTAATTATCTGCAATCGCTATATGAGATCATTTACAGGTAGGTCCTTCAAGGATTGTGTTGATACATCAGTACGGCTTTTAGAAAAGCGAGATCCTCGGTAGCATTGCTATTAAGGCAGATCATCTGACATCCGCACAAGGGCTAAGGACTATTGAAGGCCATAACGAATTATAGGCGGCTAGTATTGTTTGCCTATTTCCCATAGACGTTGAAAAACGCCTTTTATACACTGCAATTCTTTCTCGCTTACAAACTCTTGGTTCTGTACATGCTCGAACTTGGTAAAAAAGTTACTTTAAGGAGCAGAGTCCTTCTCATTCATATGAAAACTGTGGCTGGCTTCGTCCACAGGTCGGAATGTCACCACAAGGGTTTCATGGTACCTTTTCCTCTCGATGTGATGTTGGAACTTGTATGACGCCGGATTATGAGTTGCCGTGCGCAAGATTTTGTGTTTCGCTTGACGTGGATGTCATATGTTTTCTGTCGTCGGTCAATACATCTGAGCAAGTTGGGTTGCCACACGATTGGTACCTTGTTCTTTTTTAGATTTGTTTTGGATTCTGGCGTGTTATTTTAGGCTTACTTACTTTTTAGGGCTACAGTTCTGGCCGCCCTATACAGTAGGCTTGGCTTATTTGCACCGGGCTTATTTATAAGTGAGAAGAATGTGTATTTTACTCTTAATTGTTAGTGAGGCTGCAAAATAATACCTCATCTGACATCTTGTCACTTGAGGTATATTTTGGTTGCCTGTTTTTTTATTTACGCCAATCTTGCAGCTTTTGACTAGCACACTGCGCATGTCTCCTTAGCCATCTCGTTTATTGGTATCCGTCATTTTGGTTACGCATTAATGAGCTATTTCGGCGGTTCCTGGGCAAAGAAGCCTTATCTAACCCATAGCGTTGTATAATTCTACTCTACCGTCCTTTCTGTTTTGTGGCCTGATTGCCTTTATGACGGCTATTTCCAGTTTCATTGCCCGTTGTGTTAGCAGGTTGCATAGAAGATGTCAGCCTCTCTTTCTGCTTCGAGTTTCGTTTTATCGCACTTTAATTCTGGATGTTTGTGTTGTTCTTATAGCATGATTCTCGACTCATGCGCAGGAGAGAGCTAGAACTCTCTAATTTGCGCAAGGCGGGAGGGGGCCTCAAACTGCAGTGGAAATACAGTCATAAAAGAATTAATTATTTTTTTTACAATTATCTATAAGAAGATAGGGTGGTGACTCAATTTGGTCCAATGGCAAACGACGATGGGAGCTTCTGTCTGCGACATTTCGGAGTCGGTAATTCCTCTCTCTGACTCGTGGATTCAAATTTTTGGATATGGAGAATATGATATTATCTATCTCATGATGCTATCAGTTGGTCATGGATGTCTGACCGGTTCAGCTTCGAATTCCTCGGGTTTTGGTAATATCGATTAGCTCATTCATGCCCTAAAGGTTTTCCCTGGATTTGAAGCATTTTTTTTTAGACACG